TCCGTCTTTATTAACGTAAATATATGTGTTAAGAGATGGGGAACTCAGTATAAGTATATAGAGTCATGTAAACTAACAATATTTCAGTATAAGTATACATTAGAGGATTTTTCTCCAGATTCGTGTAGATTAACGTTAGTTCTACCTGTACAAGAAAAGACCATAGGATATAACAAGAATGTTTCGTTTTGCATATTACAGTATTTTTCTGTAGCATTGTTCCGTGTATGCTAGAGGAGTTTATAAATATCCACTATTTAGTTAGGTTACATGTATTATTATGTTCCTTTAGAGCATCATAGTTGAATAGTACGTTTTAATGTAAACATTTTTATTAATATATCATCATTCGTGGATAACTAAATACAGTGTCGTTCAGCACACAATTAACCTTTAAAACACAAAAAGCAAGAGTTAATTATATACTTATAGGTTTTGTTGAAGTGTTCAGAAGGTGTGTCCACTTGTAAATAGGTCATTCTATTCTTTAATAGAAAAAAAAAGAAATTAATGCATATATTAATAATAGGTTGGGACTTCTACCTCAGGATAAAGTAGGCTTTTATCAGGTTTTTTTTTTCAGCGTTTATTTCACCATGAAAACTATACATCAAAATTAAAAACATGCAGCTATTTTCCCCCTACCAATGAGACGTTTCAAAAGTACATTTTCATACCAGAATATTTTTTTTTTCCTCTGACATGTTTGCAAAGAATAACTAAATCAAACGACCAAACGTTTTCTCCGTGCAAAAATTAGGTTAAGTTAAGCTTCTAATGATACATTCATCAAACTTTCAACCACAATATCTGTTTCAACTGAACAGACGAAATAAATCTGGTTTTCCTTGCATGTTCAGCAAGACACAAAAGTTGAAAAAAATTACACTTTACAACATATCAGTTATTATACCTATAATCAAAATAAAATATTCACAGCCGAAATAATTCATTATTAATCAGTAGTTAATTTTATTTACTTCATTGGTTATTTTGTCGACTTCTGCTGTTCTTGATATTTTTCGGTTTTACAATACAATATATATATATACATAATATTTAACTCTACAGTCTTCTCTAACCCTAGTTTCAATGCAATATCTGAATATGCAGTGATCAGAGTCATTTATTTTCAATAGAAAGGTGGTGTATGCACAAGCATGCGTATTGTTCAACTGATCGATTAACCAATCAACACATTAGAAGGTACCGGAATTATAACTGAAAACAAATGATCAACAAGGTTCGAGTTACTTTTGTTATAGGTTTTGTGTTTTATTGATTTCCAATAAAGACTGATTCCGTTAACAGCCATGTTCCCCATCTCTTAACACATATACTTACGTTAATAAAGACTGATTCCGTTAACAGCCATGTTCCCCATCTCTTAACACATATATTTACGTGAATAAAGACGGATTCCGTTAACAGGCACGTTCCCCATCTCTTAACACATATATTTACGTGAATAAAGACTGATTCCGTTAACAGGCACTATTGTTAGTTTACATGACTCTGTATACTTATACTGAAATATTGTTAGTTTACATAACTCTGTATACTTATACTGAAATATTGTTAGTTTACATGACTCTATATACTTATACTGAGTTTACATAACTCTGCATAGTTACAGTAAAATATTGTTAGTTTACATAACTCTGTATAGTTACAGTAAAATATTGTTAGTTTACATAACTCTGTATACTTATACTGAAATATTGTTAGTTTACATGACTCTATATACTTATACTGAAATATTGTTAGTTTACATGACTCTATATACTTATACTGAAATATTGTTAGTTTACATGACTCTATATACTTATAC